CGTCGCGAGGCATCGCGACGTCGCCGGAATGCGAACGACCCGCGAGCCGGACCACACACGTGGCGGTCGCTTCTAAACGACTAGCGTAAAATACGATACCGCTCGCGCGCTCCAAAGCGAACGCTAGGAGAGGCGCGGCGAGGATAAATGTACGATCGTCGAGCCCTAACGCGGACACGGAGCTAATTCGATCGCTAATTTAATCGGTAATTTAATAGGAGACGCGAGCGGAAGGAAAACGAAAAGGAAGCGGAGAGAAAGGCAATTGGTCGGATTCGATCGATTCGGATCGCGACAGAGAAATGAGAGAAAGAACGAGAAGAAACGAGCGGGTGTGGGTGTACCGAGCCATAGCGAGAAACAAAACGAGGCACACTTACGAGTTGATTCTGATAGGCGGTGACAGCCGTGAATATCGCCTCCGGGAATACGAAAGTCTTGTGAGGTTCCTTCTCGAGGTCCGTTATCGGCTTGGCCGTGCCCGAGTCCGGTCGCTTCACCAGGTGAATCCTCGGTTGATATTTGTGCATCGAGTTCAACACCAGCTGCAAATCGTTGCGATTCATCGGTAGTTTTAAGGCGCGCAGCACCCTCGAACGAGGACGAAAACGTTTCGATCGAGGCAGTAAACGCGTCGTCGCGCTTCTGTTCGAACGAACGGACGAAACCGTTTCTCGAGCCGTCGACCGGGGCGCGATAGATCGACGATACCGAGAGATTCCGATGGAAGAAAAAGCGTACGAATTAGAAGCGCTTTGTCGCTCTCGGACAACCCTCGTTCCTTCCCGCAACCCCCTCGCCGTTACCGTTCAAAAGAATCACTTTGCCTTCGTCTGGCAGCGCGTAACGTCTTGAATACCAAATGAGAACCGTGAAGAACCGTAGGTCCGATCAGAGTTCCTATTTACGTCAGTCATCCGATGAATTAAGGGACCCGCCGCTCCGTGACCCGTTCTCTCGGAGCCGGATACCCACCACCGCCCCGTACCGCCAACCCCGGACGATCGAAGCGACACCCCGAGGACTCGATAATCGTCCACGAAATCGACTCGATCCGGACTCGATACTCACGTGTCCGTGTCTGTCCATGTCGTTGTTGGTCAGTTTGACTTTCTCGAACGAGACGACCTGCTTTCGGAGCTGCTCCCCCGTAAAAGGCGAGTCCGGATGCACGTAGAGACGAGCGGGTGCCGGCGGATCCGCCTTTCCCGCTACCAACCAGGAGCTTCTGTGATAAGCGTAACGATACCTCTTGTTGTCCACCGGAACGATGTCCATCAGCACCGCGTACCGACTGTCCGCCTTCAGTCCGTTGAACGACACTCTGCAAGTCGGGAACATCCTCCTGCGAAAGCAACGAACGACCGGAGATTTAGAAAAGAAAGGGAAGGAGAACGCGGCGAAACGGATAACGGCGCGACTCGAGACGACAGGACGATACGGGACGAGACGAGACGAGACGGTTGCGTTCGCGGATACGGAAAAAGGTGGAGGAAGGGCGGAGGGGCGAAGGGCCGAGGTGGCAGAGGATCGGGCCTGGCGTGAATGTTTTGCCTCGGAGGCCAAACATTAATACCGTGTCGGGCCCCCCGCTGCTCGACCACTAAAACGCGGGGACACCCGCCGATCTTATCTACGTCTTCTCCTCGGTCCTTGTCGACTCGGTATGCATTCATCCCGCCAGCGCCACGAGCGTGAGTAATGCTTTTATTTATCAAGCCGTCCTTTGTTAATGAATTGAACTCGCCTCGCGAGAGAAGGTGGCCTCTTCGATTCCACCTTCCTCCGCCGCGCGCGTAGCCCTTTCGCCCCTTCGCCACTTTGCCGAGCAACTTCCTCCGTGCCTCGACGACGTCGTTCGCGTTCGAAAATCGAGACTAGTTTTTCGTCGATTCGATCCCGTTCAAATTCGCCCCTCTACCGCCTCCCGATTCCCTCCTCGGCCCGAAACGTTCACGCCCACTCGGGGAACGCGCGAGCGAACCGTGAGGACAAGGGTGGAACGATCGCGAGAAGGGAGAATTTCGTGCTCGACCGGGAAGAAAGAAGAACGCGGCCGAAAGGAGGGGGAAAGAGAACGGGGAAGTTCTGCCCTTAAAGCCTCTCCGCGAATAAGACGCGGGTCGGCCCGGTGCAGAGGGGACGACGGAGGGTAAGAAACGGAAGCCGAAGGCGGTGGCGAAGGGTCGCGACGGAAGATCGAACGAACGAGGGAGTTGACGGGCGAAGGGTGTCGCGTCGCGCAGATCTAATTACTGACGCGCGAGTAAGCGCGCAGTGGGGTAGCGGAACCCCTTCGGGAGCTTCCTAGCACCGAGAAGGAGCACGGATGTTGCCGTCGTGGCGGGCAATTAGGCGCGCGTCCGCCGCGTCGCTTCTTCTCTCCCTCTTCGATCCCTTCCCTTCCGCGCTCCTTTTTCCCTCGACGCGGCTCGGTACGCGAGATATCGCTCTTTTTCGCGAAACGTCGAACGCCGAAATCGTAAGCCAGAAGCAGGAAACGAAGACGAGAAGAGGGCGAGAGGATTATTCGGCGAAAGGTAAGGGCGGTGGCCCCGAAGGCCTCCGACCGGATTCCATCGGAGCGGAGGCGCGATATCCCTCTCGAAACGGTTAGCGCCTCCGCTTGCCACCGCTTACCACCGCTCCTTTCAAGGACCTTTATAAACTGGCATACAAGCTCGTTCGGGTTCCACGCCGCGCCAGGCCGCGCCACGCCGAGCTACGCCGGCCCGACTAATTGACCGAACCTCGATATAGCAATTTAACCGACCGCCTGCCACCGCTTCCTTTTTCGTATTTCTTTTAATTCTCGCCTTGTAATTCCACCTTTGTTCCCTCTTCGAATATTGAATTTCAACCGACGCGACGCGTACGTCTCCTTTTCTCTTCTCCTCGTAACGCGAACGTCTTTTTAATTTCCTCCGACTCACCTTCCAGTCTTCGTGATGATCATCTCGGTGCCCAACTCGTTGAACTTGTCCCACAAGTCTTTCGTCTCGAGATGACACACCACGTGTCTGAGCTCCTCGCAGTTGGATCGTTCCTGAAGCAGAGGGTTGACGGGAGAAGCGGCTTTGCCGCTGGTGCTTCCGGTATCGTCGGTTTCCGGATCGTCCTCGGCGACGATAGGCTCCTGGATAACCGGAGGACCGCGAACCACGCCGGACACGCTCGGTTCCCTCTCTGAAAACCAGCCAAACAAACTCGTTCGAGAACACCGTCGTTCAAATCGAAAACGAAGACCTTTCGACGAGCCTTCGAGAAAGAAAGGAAAAAAAAACGTCTCGATCGACGGCCAACAGCGTTTCACGCGAGTAAACGGTTAACGACGGACGTCGTTTCTTCCATTTACTTACTTATCTGTCTACCTACCGCGAACCGAACGATCCAACGAGTAAAAAGCCGATACGAGCGGATAATTAATTGGTCGAATCGTGGTCATCGAGGCAAAAGGAAATCTCGAGTTGCGTGCGGATAATCTCGTAAATAGCTCGCTATATTGAAAGGTTTCCAGCCACGAGAGAGCGGTAAGTGGAAGGTGAGCAGAAAGAGAAGATCGACCACGAGGGACGCGAGCGATGATTCGCGGTTAAAACTGGCATCGCCGAGAAAGAAAATTGCCGTTATCGCGAGACCGGTAATTCGCGGCTAATGCGACGCGACGCGAGCCATCCACCGCTCGCTTCTTTCTCTCTCGCGAAAAACTTCCTGTCCGCCGATACGATGAATTTTATTTACTCGATAATTAGCCGCTGTCTCGATGGCCGATTTCGCGATTGCGTAAACGCGATCACGCGATAGCGTGGTACCGACCGAACCGAACGTTTTCCCCGCGCGCGATGACGCTCGAATCCAGCGCGCGCGTTCGGCTAATTGATCGAACCGTAGCGATTTTCAAGGATCGTTTGCTCGCCGTTTCGCCGTGACCGAACCAATTTCCCTGTATCTTCGCTCGGAGCAAACTCGTCGCCCCCTAAAATAATAACGACGGCCGCGGTAGCTAAAATTAGCTAAAGTAGCCAAAGGATAATTATCCGATCACGGTCGAGGCTCGCTTTGCTTTAGCTTTATTAATCGTAGCGCCAAGGGAGCGGCAGCGATTCGTGAAATGACGACGATCTCCGCGCCCAAAGACCGACCGGAAACGCAGGAGAATCGATTCACTCTCCTCGCGAATCGAGCGTCGCGGTCGAAGGCCAAGTCGCGATTACCTCGGTCGCGAACTCGAAATTATCGCGAATAGATTAATAATAAATGCCCGTAGAGATTTTCTACGGCGATACCGCGTAGCCGCGTATTTCGTTTAATGGAATGCGCGTTAAAAATTACTTTCGCTCGTTAACCGTATTCTTCGTTGGGCAAAGCGAACGACGGAGCGATATGCATGGAGGAAAAACGACGTTCTCTTAACCGTGAATTATCGTACGCGGACGATGTTAACGCGAAACGATCGATCGATGCGCTTTAAATAACGATCATCGTAGCGAGACGTAAGTCGAAATAAATTTCTCCGCGTTCGTTCACGGAAGTCGAACGCTCGTGTCGGCGTTCGAGAGAGTCGGAGCGGAAAAGCGAGAAGAGACGAGGCGAGGCGAGGCGCGAAAACGCGAACAATTATTTAAAGGGAGAATTTTCGCGCGGTCGCGTAGCGGCTAATTGGACGGTCAGGGAACGTTGCCGCGACGCGTGGTCCGTCATCCGCGTATTTTTATTCGACGCAACGAACGGCGGTGTTAAACGACTGACGAAACGGATGACGAGTCGCGTC